CGCAGCAGTCACGCACGTTTAAAGTATCGTTGGCAGCAGTTCCTGTTTTAGTTCCTGTAAAGAAGGTGCTGGAGCAGAGCGCGCCACCGTAATGGTCTCCACCACGTTATATGGTAGTTATGGCAGAGATTGGTGCCCCGTGGAGAGAGCAGAAGAGAGAGAAGCGTGCACCTACCATAACCTGTACAAAACCATAACCAACCATAACAGCCAAGGCAGTGAACACAGTGAAGTGTAAAAGTAAGGACATGGAGGGTCGACGCGTTAAAAAAAAACGAAGAACTTTCGCATCATATTTAAAACACGAAAGATATCAGGGGAAGAGAAATCTATTTGGACGAGGAACACACATTGATGAAGAAACATACAATTACCTTCTTCGTGTAATGGGAGTAAATATCAGCAGTTTTGAAACTGAGGAGGACAGGGGTAAATTTATTTAATGTCTTAGTGGTTTTGTTACGAAATAGGATTAAATCTAACATTGATTATTTTTCAGAAATATTCATTGACAATGTATTTGAGGAAATGGCTGGAAAAGAAAATGATATTTTGTGTAACCAAGTGGGATCAAGGGCCATAGAGATGTTTTTGCCATGGGCATCTGACGAAATACTTCTCCGATTCACATGTATATTATCAGAAGACTTGAGAAAGATGTGTCTTGATGGATTTGGGAGCCATGTTCTGCAACAACTTGTGTTTGTAGTCTCTGCTCGATTGCAGGTAAATAACACAATGCTGTTTTGGAAAAAATGTTGTGATTTGCGAGACATGATTTTAATAGTGAATTGTCACTTGCTTTTGGAAGTATTTTTTTAATGAGGTTAACATGATGGTGAAAGTGGTGGTGGTTGAATGAACGAGGTTAACACGGTATAACATAACGTGACTGGAAAAGAATGGCTACTCATAAGACGTTCAAGTCGAATAAAAATGAAAGAAAGCTGAAACATAACATAGGTTAACATAATATCATGAAAACTATTCAAAGTTTACACCTGATCAGAAAAAAGGAGTTCCTGAAATGTTGTGAAAAAATGTATCAATAAATAACATAAAATTACAATGGTGTTTATTTTATAAACCACAGCAAAGCTAGGTATATTAAATAAAAATTACATAATATTACGATATGTATGTATTAAAATTCATTAAATTATAATACGTATGTATTTAGACTGATTGGGGAAATAGACAACTTACTTGAGTTTTAAAATTCTGTAGTTATTTAACTGAACAGCTTGTTCAATATCTTGGAAGAAAATAAAGGAAATAAAATATGTAATTAATGAGTGCCATGATTGCTGGAAGGAAAATGTGAAAGAACATTTCTATTCAGTGACTGATGATGTTTAAGAACAATTGCATTCACATGACTTTTAACCCACTGATGCAGGAAGTTCCGGATTACCATTATTGTAGAAATGGGGCTTTTTTGGTCCAGTACTTTTCTGTGTGAAATTAAGAAGTTGAAGATGAAAAATATCTGTTCAAATTTGAATGACTTTTATTCCTATATTTAGATATTGTTTAAAAAATGTAAAAGCAAATGGCTGAAATGTAGTACACAGTACAACCGAGGGAAGTCATTTAAACCGGCACTTTGCGCCGTTCCGGTGTTAACTAGGCAGTTAGAATTCGGGGATCTTTCTTGAAAAGTGATGTCTTATAAAAGTGAATTGATAATTATGCGTTGGATAGACTCGAGGATGTTTATAGTGAATGCGAGGGCCGAAGGCCTGAACCTCGCCGTGACTTAGATCCGGGCGAGCGAAGCGAGAAAACTTGTCTTTGAAAGTAAATTGATGTTACAATGCGTCGGGGACAAAGCATTTGAAGGGCGAACAATGAAAATCGCCTATCCGTAAGTTGTATTCATTTCTATTAGAGCACGTACAGTAATTAGGGCTTAAGCCTAGCCGCCACATTTCTCTAAGGGTGTACCGTATACTAAATTTTAACCAAGCAAACTAATCACTTATTAACGGTTCATTAAATATATTTTTTATATATGGTAAATGCAGTTGTGATGGCTGGCAAAGTGATGGCAACCTTTTTATTCCTAATTCCTTAATAGATTACTATGTAAGGGAGTAGCTTGCTAAGCCTAATAGTAACTACTTGAAAGTGTGGTTGACTAAGGATTGCCAGGAATTGTTGTGCAGAAAATGCCCTAGGCCAAGTGATTCTCAAACCTCATTGTTCCCTTAAAAAAATATAACACATTATTGAAGCCCACATATTAGTAACAGTAAAGAAAGCAGTAAAATTAGGTTGTTTTTAAAATTTATTTGCCATTTGCAAAAATGTTCACAACTAAAAACTAAAACTCCTGTTCAGTGAAACATTATTAAAATTTATGTAACAGTACCATCTACAAAAATTGAATTCATAATTAATTCTCTGGATCAGGTTGTTCATGCTAATAAGCTGAAAACCAAACAGAATATCTTTAATATGAACCAAAACTAGTTCTGTTTGTTTTTACCATAACTGACATGCCATACTTTTTTGCTAGACTTTTGCTTAAACATTAAGTTTCTGACGATGTACTAGTTTTAGGAGTTTCAAGTAAAAGACTCAGAAACTGCTGAAGTGACTAATGTGTCAGGAAATCAGTTTCATATACTCATATCTACAACTCTTGTTTGTGAGAAAATTCTATACATTTTACTTGGACTTTATTTAATGTAATGGAATTGTCTTTAAAATATTGGTCTGGAGGTTGACAGTTGGTGTATTCTAATTTTAAACAACGTCTCTTTTTTTTAATTCTTCTTGAACATTCTAAAATAATTTTAAAAAACAATACATGATTTGGGGATTTTAGACCACCTTCAGAGGTGAACATTTCCTCTCATCATGAATTGAGTAGCATAAATTTTTAGAATTATGGAAAAGTTATAGATCTTTATTTTTGGGAGTTCAATGTGTGCACCACAAGGATGATACTATAAAACACTGTATTGCTTTCCAGTTTTACATGAATTGATACAACTTAATTCATCAGGCTCACAAATATTCTCCCTAATTATGTCATCTACAAACTTTTTTTTAAAAAAGTATTCCTATTGATACTTTTGCTTGTAGCTTTATGTGCCTGAGGATGTATGAACGAGACAACAGTATTATGTTTAAAATGTATTTTTATTAATATCTGAAATAATAATTTTGAGCCTTTTTTTTCTAAATGCACTTTTCAGAAGACCCAAAGCAGTTCTCCAGAAACAAATGCCTCCCAAGAATCTCAGTCTTCTGGCCCTGATATCTCCATGAGATTCAAGATCTGGTTGCAACAAGTTGGTCAGTTTGTGGTAAACAACCTTGACGAATTTGTGTGGGATTGCTATGCAAACCATGTAATTCGAACAGTCTTAGAGTGCTTCAGTGGCCTTCCACGAGGATCTACTTCAAAACAAAAAAAGGAGGGACATCTGGAATGGTTACCTGATCCAGAATTTACCCCTTCACCTGTTGGTGACGGATTCTCTCTAGTACAACAGTGTGGATGTCGTATTTTGCAAATGCCTGAGGTTTTTGGTAAGTTTTATATTCTTCTTTTCAGGGTTGCAATGATTTAAATTAAGTGATTTATATTATTGATTTAAATCAAAAATATAATTTATTGTAAATTTTAAAATGAATGATTAAAAATGTTCAGACAATGAAAAAATGAATGATTAATTATAACATTTAAGGTTTTCATTTATTCATAATCAATGAACTATAATCGCTTTTAAGAATTATTTAATTCGTAAATCCTACAGGGGTTGATTATGAAGGAAAGCCAATGTGATGCTTTTTCTGTTCCAAAATGATTTTTAAGTTTTGATTGGACAAGTGCAAATGTGTAAAATATTTGTTCCATACTAACTGAAGATAGTGATGCTAATTAATTTTATTTGACAATGTTCATTTCTTGTTCTGTAAACATTTTTTTTTTGGCTTGCACACTTTTCGACCACTCTATGGATATGTAATACCATTTTTAACGCATTTCTGCCGTCTTTTTTTGTAAAACTCTTTAGAAATAATACAACATCAAAAACAAAATATTTTCAAGGATGAATGTACACAAATTTGACAATTAT